ACCTTATCCAGATTGCCGTCCATGATGTCGTCGGGCGCGATGCCGTCGCTCGCGGGCTGAGGCTCGTCAGGAACACGAGCATGGGGATGCATCTCCGACAACGCCTGAGCGTTGTCTGGTGGCTCCGCCGCCTCGAGCTCACCCAACGCAGACGCGACGGTGGCCAGCTGGGCGACCAGCTTCTGACTGAGCGACTCGGCCAACTGAATTTCCTTGTTGAGCTTAGCTTGGAGCTGCTGCCTGCGCCCGTCCGCCTCGGGGGCGCGCTGCTGGGGCGATGGCCCAGAAGCGCGGCGGGCTGCGAGCTCGTTCCTGCCTTGGCGGCCAGGCCCCGGTTGCCTGACTTTTCGCTGAGCTTCGCCGCCTGCTCGAGCTCCTCCAGGCCGAGCTAGGGGGCAGCGCCCACGCGGCCTGGGGCTCGAGGCACCCGTAGTCATCCACCTGCTCTGTCTGCACCGTCGGCTCCAGCGCCCGCGGGTGCAGGGAGACCAGGGCGAGGAGGCAGACGAGGAAATTGTTGATCATGTGGCGCACCGCAGTGCTAGCATTTCGTCCAGCTCGCTTTGCTCCTCTTGCATGAGCATTGCGTGCACGCCCACTTGCCCTCGTAGTCCGGTGGTATCCACGAACCGTCTGGGCCCAACTGCCATTGGTTCTGGTTTTACTTGTAGCCATGGTAACGATAGTTCCTATTCTGCCAACCGTAACCCTGGATGCCGCCTCCAGCCATCGGGGCACTGGGGACGGGATGGACACTGGGGCTGGAATGGATTCGGATGAAAATGGCCCGCCAATGCGTGCCGCTCTGAAGATCAGCACTGGCAAAGTCCAGCAAAGCCTGGACCAGAACAGCTGTGGCGACTGGTGTAGAAAGTGGTCGGGGCGGAGGGGGGCGGGGCGGACAGGGCACTGGACGGGGGGCGGTGTCACGCTGGTGGAGGTGGTGGTGGTTGGTGTATACAGTGGTCGGGGCGGAGCACTGGACGGGGGACGCTGTTACGCTGGTGGTGGTGGCGGTTGGTGTGGGTGGGGGGGTGGGGGGGTGGAGGGGCGGGGGGGGGCTGGGCGGTGGGGGCGGTGCGATGCCGCAGCAACGTGGTCGGAGCTCTAGACACCTCGTGCAAGAGAATGTTGCTTGGTCTCTTCGAGCTCTGTTGGGAGAGCTCTTGGAATCCTCTTGGGTATCTTGGGGGCCTCCTGGGCCGTCTGGAGGGCCTCGTGAGAGTCCTTCTGAAAGCAGATTGGCAGTATTGGGGCCCTCTTGGGATGTCTCAGTGCTACGTTGGACCAATATTGGTACGCTCTTGTGCGGTCTTGGACTTTTTTGGAGCGCTCTTGGGCCCTCTTGGCGCCCTCTTGGATGTCTCTCAAGCCCTCTCGTCGCTCCCTTTCCCCTCCTTTGACGCGTCCTGGCGCCCCCCGGCAAGTCCAAACCGGCCGGGTACGGAATCAGTGCACTCTGGCCCCCCCCCTCCCTATTTTATGCGCATCTACTGTTAGCAGTGCCAAATTCCTGTTCGCCTCTGTTTATTCTGAGTCCCGTATCGCTCGTGTTCGAAGGCGGTTGCAGTGTATCCAACAGGCCTCGTGTATGTGAGTGGCCCGACCGAGGGTTGCACGCAGTCGCCTAGACAATCAGTTAGATGATCAAGAACCCGAATCGTGCTTGGACTTTCAGCTTCGGAACCAAGTAGAAGAGCAACCTGCTCCCATGGCTTGATCGGTCGCCCACGCCGTTTGCGAGATTTCGAAGTCAATTGTTGGGGAGACTCTCTAGGCGTTTCTCATTGGAGTTGGCTCGTGGGCTGCAGCTTGTCGTGGTTATGGAGTTCCTGCTGGAAGTACTAAGGCTGCAATTTTCCATATCATATATCCGATCGTTGGTCCGCGCTGCCCACCCCTGCCCTGCAATGGTTCAGGCTCGGAGGTACGTGAGGTCACTGTACCACAGCTAGAAGCAGACCCAAATGGCCAAGACTACTGGCGGGCGTGGTCAACAACAATTTCGTGGCTACGGAGCTTGGCAGCCGACTTGGCAACCGAAGCAGAACGACCGTGACCGTGATCGTGACCCAGGTAGTAGCAAGACGAAGAAAAAACATCGTTCAAGCAGCTCGAGCAACTCAGATACGGATGACCTGGCCAAAGCTGCCGAGGGGTTTCTTTTGAAGCGCAGCAAGCGCTACAAGCAGTTCGTGAAGTGAGGGGAGGAGGCTGAACGCATCAAAGGAGCACGAAGGGCAGGGCAAGCTTATCGCCGACGCGATCGCACCGCAGCTCTCCTCCGCCATCGCCGCCAACGCAGTGCAGGCGGGCACCCCCGCGGCCGCGGCGAGTACTGCAGCGGCGCCAGCAGCCGCAGCCCTGCCAAGCCTGCCGCATCCTTTCCCGCCACCGCTACTTTCTGTCGCCGCGCCGCCGGCAAAAGCTGACGGCATCTCAGCGTGCCTACATCGCTCCTGACTGTGGCCACTTTGTCAAGTTCGAGGATGGCACGATGGAGGAGCCAGAGGATCAGCGAGACTTGGTCGGACGTCAAGGTTCCCGCGGGGCGTGGACCGCATCATCAAGGACGCAGGCCAGGGCGTGGCTCCTCGAGGTAGTAAAGAGCAGCTCCTCGAGGTAGTAAAGAACATGTCCTGAATGGTCCTTGCCCCAACCGGGTACGCCGTCCACAGTATGATTTTCATCGTGAGGGTGCTCTACTTGGCGGATGCTCTGAGCATTGCGCTCTATCTTGGACATCGCCGCGGGCATCGAGTTGCAACGTGGGAGCTATCTACGCATCGCGGCACACGCGACTTTGTTATCAATACCGTCGGCACCATGCTGGCTTCTTACCTCTCTGGAGGGGCAATGACCGAACGAGCTGGGGGCATGGCAGCAGTCAAAAACTAAGGCGCATCGTGGATCGAAACAGCAGGAGACCGCACTGTGCAAGCCATCGGATGTGGACCGTGAGGCCGCCGATGAATCCTCGCGCGCGTGGCAGAGCTGGGGCCCCCAGACGAGCCCGGGCGGGCGTAGCCGGTGTCGCTTGCCTCATCTCGCCCCCTCGCGGCCAGGCTCAAAACAGGGGAGGGGGACATAGCGTACCAGAAGCTCGTTTGGTAGGCGGTTTCCGATTTCCCAATTCCCTGTGGTGGTAGAATTTGCTTTTGTCTTGGCCCGCCGCGGATCCTCCCAGACGATCCAACACGACCACAAGACCACCAGACCACTCCGGAGACTTTCAATTGCACTGACGCCACCGTGAGCTGCTCTGACACTAGGGCGCGCGTGAGCGGAACGTCTTCTCTCCTGATGAATGATGTCCTCGGTCTTTCGCAACTCCCTGGAGAGCCATCATCTCTATGGTTTCATTTGGGCTCAAGAACCTGTGCAGGCATAGACGCTCAACCGCGTAGGGTTCGGTCTCGTGTCAGCAATGCCAAGCACTGCAAACTGAAGATCACTAGGCGAAGTGGGAAACGGTCAGACGTCATCACCACCATCATCATCATCATCATCATCATCATCATCATCATCAGCATCAGCATCAGCATCATCATCGGCAACATCAGCATCAACTTCACCATCACCATTCATATTCATAATCATCATCAACATCATCATCACAATCAACATTGCCATCAATATCCGCTGGCCCCCTTGGGGGCCACCAGGCTGCGAGGAGTAAGGTTGGTGTTCCCTGCACCCGTTCCAGGTTCCAGTTTCCAATGTTACATTATTGCTTTCTGCTTCCTACTGTAAATTGTTACTGTCCGCGCGAGGGGGGGGGGAGCCGAAAACGGCCCTGGTTAGCGTCCCCCGGGAGGGTTCTCAGAATTCCTGGGAGGGCGTGGGACATGTATAAATACGGGAGATTCGTGCCCCCGAGGCTATAATCCCTTATAAATTATACTGTATTCGCGCCCCCGAGGCCCCGATCCCTTGTAAATTACACAATCTTCGCGTCTCCGAGGCCACGATCCATCGTAATTTACGTCGCATTCGCGCCTCCGAGGCGACGATCCCCTGTAAATTACGCCACATTCGCGCACTCGATGCCACGATCCCTCGTCTATTTGAAACATGTTTCGGGATGCGCTTTTCGATTCCCCCGCTGTCTCCTAAATTCCGCGCTGTACCCGCAACCGCAAGTCTTAGAGAATAACGCCACGCGCCGCTATATCCCTAGAAAACATCATGCAACTCCAATTGTTCCAAGAGGGCGCCCAATAGACAAGAAGCGGGAAACGCCCCGAGAAGGCAATGAACCCTTCGACAACAGCTCCAACATCTCAACGTGTTTTGTTCATTGCCAGCCGTCTTCTTCTGACGTTCCAGATGTCTTCAAATCGGCGCCCAGACATCCCAAAACAGCTCTGATATGTCCAGTTATGATGGAGAAGGGGTCGGCGGCAGAGGGCGAAGCCCTTACGGATAATCATCATCACCATCATCACCACCATCGTCATCGACATCAACATCATCGTCATCATCATCATCACCATCGTCGTCATCATCACCATGACCATCACCATGACCATCACCATCACCATCATCATCATCATCATCATCATCATCATCACCGTCACCACCATCAGCATCATCATCTTCAGCATCACCATCGTCATCGACCATCATCGATCATCGTCCTCCTGTCCCATAATTGCCATAATCCTCATCATCCTTATCACGGCTCTCCCAAGCTCGGCGACACGAAGTGTCGCGCATGACGGCCTCCCGTCCCCCTCGAACGATTGCCACCCAAAATGCTGTGCTGGCAAGGTGGCGGGACTTGCTGCAGGCAGCTGGACATTGATGTTGCCAGAACTCCAGAACCCCCATAATCAACTCGAACGCTCTCAGAAAACTGCAGCCCGATGATAAAATTCACATCGTCGTTCATTGCCCATCTGCTGGGAGGCCGTGAGGGGCGCAGAAGGAAAGCATCACGGGCAGGGTACAAACGAAAACAGCGCGGCGGCAACATGCTCGGAGCTGGCAGTGACGGCCTTGATCTCTCGCAGCGCGGTCTGGAAATCCTCACTGAGGGGTACCGTCCAATGTTGCTTACGCATCATGCCCTTCTGAACCCATCCTCACATCTTCACAAGCAGACGCTTCACAACCGGTTATCGCCCAGAGGATGCGCCAAAGGATCACGGGTGCTAGTTACCAAAATGGGCGCCAAAGAGATCTCAATAGTTTGTTAGTTCTGGCCATCCCCGAACTAACTCCACGAGATTTCAAGATCCTCTGCCCTACAGATCCACAAACCCGTCCAGGACATTCATCGACGGCGTTCCCTGATAAGGGCTCAGGTCTATAAAGGTCACATAAACAAACTTCTTGTGAGCATACCCTACACAAGAACGGCTGCACAAGTCACGTCTGTGGGTTGTTCGTAATGTTCATGTTGGCACAATTCAGGAATGCTGGCATGTTTTGTTGAACCATGTCCGTTTGAGGAATACATGTGTTGTGTTTGTGTGATCGGATCTGTCTGCGAATTAATTTAACCGTTGATCGCGCATGTCATGCTATAAGTGATTGTGATGTTGCCATACGAGTTGGTAGTATACGGCTCTAGATGTAGATAGCTTCGCCGTTCCTATTAGAAGCACCGACTGTAATCGACCTTCACGAACATGAAAAGCTGGCATACATACTGGCTGAGAAGCTGACGGTTCTCGCCAAAGCCGCTAGATGGCAATTATTATCGACGTAATGTGAGGGCATTGGCTTTGTGCCCGTTGTGGCATGATGGAATGGTCGGGCGTTGCCTGGGAAGGTTTTTCCCGGCGGAACCGGGTGAAACTCCGTGCCGCCGGCGACACATTTCGACCCGCCCGCGGGCGCGCAACCGCAACCGCAACTGGGCGACACATTTCAACCCGCCCGCGGGCGCACAACCGCAACCGCAACTGGGCGACACATTTCCACCCATCCGCGTGCGCACAACCGCAGCTGCGCGACACATTTCGACCCGCACGCGGGCGCGCAACTGCAACCGCAACTGGGCGACACATTTCGACCCGCCCGCGGGCGCGCAACTGCAACCGCAACTGGGCGACACAATTCAACCCGCCCGCGGGCGTGAAACCGCAAACGCACCTGGGCGACACATTTCAACCCGCCCGCGGGCGCGCAACCGCAACTGGGCGACACACATCAATCCGCCCGCGGGCGCGCAAACGCAACCGCAACTGGGCGCCACATTTCGACCCGCCCACGGGCGCGCAACCGCAACCGCAATTGGGCGACACATTTCAATCCGCCCGCGTCGCGGAATCGCAACCGCAACTGGGCGACACATTTCAACCCGCCCGCGGGCACGCAACTGCAACTGGGCGACACATTTCAAACCGCCCGCGGGCGCGCAACCGCAACCGCAACTACACGGCACATTTCGACCCGCCCGCGGGCGCGCAAGCGCAACTGGGCGTCACATTTCAATCCGCCCGCGTGCGCGCACCCGCAACCCCAACTGGGCGACACGTGTCAACCCGCCCGCGGGCGCGCAACCGCAACCGCAACTGGGCGACACATTTCGACCCGCCCGCGGGCGCGCTACTGCAACCGCTACTGGGCGACACATTTCAACCCGCCCGCGGGCGCGCAACCGCAACCGCACCTGGGCGACACGTTTGAACCCGCAAAGCGGGCGCGCAACCGCAGCCGCAACTCGGCGACGCATTTCAACCCGCCCTCGGGCGCGCAACCGCAACTGGGCGACGCATTTCAACCCGCCCGCGGGCGCACAACCGCAACCGCACCGCTCGCCTGTCGTCCTCTTCCAGGGGATCTGAGGCGCAGGAAGGGTGGGAGGGAGGGGGGGGGAGTCAGGGAGGCGGGAAGGAAGAGGAAGTAGGGAGGGAGGGAGAAGAGACGGAGGGAGGGTAGAGAGCTCACAAAGATTGGGGGTGGACAACTTCTGCCCCCCCCCCCCCCTCCGCGCAAGTGGATCTTCGCAAGGTTCCAGACACTGGATTACTTGTTAAGAGCCTCCGCGGTCTGCTAGCGGGATGGGTGGGTTAACCGCCCCCGAAGGGGGGAGACGAGGCTTTGACAGGAGCGGCCCGCTGCACCTCCTAGTTTGAAGTTGGGGGGGCGATGCCGCGGGGATCGATTGCGCGTTCGCCCGCGCGCAAGCTGCCCGCGGATGTAGGTGCATCGGCGCCGTCTTATTCACGCAGCCTGCCGCGTCTTATTCATGATCTGGCGCAGGAGCAGGTGGGGGAAGAGGGGGGGGCGAGGAAGAGGTAAGGGAGGAGGAGGAACAGCAACAGGTCGAGGAGGAGGGTGAGAAGGAGGAGGAGGAGGAGGAAGACCAGGATGGCCAGGAGGAGGAGGGCGAGAGGGAGGGGGATGCCAGGGTGGCGCCGCCCGAGAAGGTGCACGAGCAGGTGCTTGTTGCGGAGGACGGGGGAGGATGACGTGGTGGACGTCAAGAAGGATATGGGCGTAAAAATGGATGTCTTCCTCGCGGCCTCCGGGCGTGACCCGCGGTTTTCCGCCGGGACATTGTAGCGGGGAATCCCCATTCCACGCTGCTGCCTCTGATTTGAGTTTTCTAAGACCGCCCCCCCCCCCTCGCCAAGCGCGTGCCTCGAACATCGCCCCCCCTGAATTTGCCTTCCGACTCTGTGTTCGGCCTCCAGGCGGCCAAGATGGCCTCCAAGAGGGCTTCCAAGACAGCCAAGGTGACACCAAGACCGTTCAAAATGGCCCTTGACGGCTCAAAAGGCTTCCCAAGCGGCGTCAAGATGGCCCGGGAAGCCCTCAAAACGGCCCAAGAGGGCTCCAAAACGGCCCACGAGGGCTCTTAAAGCCCTCCAGAAGAGCCCAAGGTTTGATGGATTTGAAATTCTCGCCTGTTGGAATTTCCGACAACCCAGGACGGCCCAAGACGCCTCCAACAAGCAGCCAACATATTCCAAGACAACACAAAGAGGCCCAGAGAGTGCCCCACGTCGGCCGAAGAGCAAGATCGCCCAAGGGGCTCCATAAAGGGCCCCCGGACGGCCATGAGACGCCCCAAGGAAACAACAGAAAGGTCCAGAGAGGCCCCCTTTATGGCGGCCTCCGAACGCCTTAGACGGGGACAAAAGTCCCTTTGAAACGGCCGAATACCCAACAAGAAACCCCCAAGAGATCCCAGGAGGCCTCCAAGAGGCCCCTGACAGGCCCCCAGGAGGCTCCCCGGATACCGAAGAGGGCCCCAAGAAGCCTTCCCCTCCTCATCCTCTTTATTCCTTCCTTCTCCTCCTCCTCCTCCTCCTCCTCCTCCTCGTCCTCTTCCTCCTTTTCCTCCTCCTCCGCCTCCTCCTCTTACATATCGCGCGGACAAAGACGAGGTCGATATCACTACCCTCCCCAATTCAGACCACCGCGCGGGCGAAGACGAGGCGAGGTCGAGTTCACGACCCGTCCAAATCCAGACCGTTCGTAAGAATTGCGCCGTTCCTGCACTCAGCCTCCTCCCTGCTGCGCCGTTGAACAATCACGGTGGCGGGGTTTGCCGCAGGTAGCTCAGTAATGCTTCAATTGGCTGTGTCGGCGAATGAGCGAAAATAATTCGACTGCAACTTTAACCGGGTGGGTGTGCATATGTGGTTGCAATCTGGCGGGGTTGGGTAAGGATGCGCTGGTTGCAAGTTTAGGTGGGTGGCTGAGGATACCACGATTGCAGCGTGTGGCGCAAATGTGAACTATCTGGGTTCGACTATGAAGCGAGTGGCAAACAACTCGTGGGTTACAGTGTTTGGCGGTTGGGTGAGACATTGGGGGAACGGTGTTAGGCGGGTGGGTGAAGATACTTGGGTTGCAGTGTCAGGCGGGTCAGTGAGTATATGTGGGTTGCAGCTTCAGGCAGGAAGATGAGGATGTATTCTTAGATTCCAATCGTGGATCCAGCTGCGCACACAACTGGTCTTGAAACAGAACTGCTCCGTGCATGTATAGATTCGCCCCTCGGAGTAGCGCCTAGCGAGAAGCACGTGGGAAAGTCGCCTGGGTGGTTGCTGGCGGTGCTCTCAGCCCTGTTTGATGTCACGGTGTATCATGTTGATCCAATGTCGTATGCTGAACAACTACACAAGTATGCGCGTTGGCCTCGTTACTATAATGCATCGGAGTGCCATGTCATGCCTGCCACGTGCGTCTGCCATCTGCTAGTAGTAGAAATCGTAGTCGTAGGAGTAGTTAATAGTGAAATGAGCATATTAGTCGTAGTAGAAGTAGTAGTAATAGTAGTTATCGTGATAGTCGTACTAGTAGTAGTAGTAGTAGTAGTAGTAGTAGTAGTAGTAGTAGTAGTAGTAGTAGTACTAGTACTACTAGTAGTAGTAGTAGTAGTAGTAGTCGTAGGAGCGGAAATAGTAGTAGCAATAAGAATTATAATAGTAATAATAATCGTAGCGCTGCTACTGGGGAGTAATAGTAGTAGTAGTAGTAGTAGTAGTAGCGGTAGTCGTAGTAACAGTAATACTAGAAGTACTCGTAGTCGTCGTAGTAATAGTTGTGGTAGTAGTCGGGGCTGCATTACTAGAAATAAGTGCAATGCTCGAAGTCGAGGTAGCAGTGGAAATGCTCGTAGCCGTAGTCGTAGTAGTAGCAATGGTCCTAGTAGTAGTAGTAGTAGTAGTAGCAGTAGTAGTGGTAGTAGTAGTAGTAGTAGTAGCAGTAGTAGTAGTAGTAGTACTAGTAGTAGTAGTAGTAGTAGAAGAAGTAGTAGTAATAGTAAACCTAGAAAACGTGCTGATACAAGTACTCGTAGCAATTGGGGTGGTAGTAGTTGTAGTACTACGAAGAGTAGTAGTGCTACGAGTATTAAGTAGTGGCAGCAGTAGTCGTGAGAGTGATAGTGGTAGAATTAGACGTAGTAGTCGCAGTAGTCGTAGTAGTAGTAATAATAATAGTAAGTACTCGTAGTCGTAGTCGCCGTACTCGTAGTAGTAGTAGTAATACTAGTAAAAGAAAAATAGGGTTAACATCGGTGAACGTAGTAGTA